TCCCTGACTGGCCAGATGCCATGTCACTCCGGAATGCCCTAAGGCGATATTCCATCAGCTCAATGATCCCTTCCTTGATCGACTCGAAAATCATCGAGGTTGCCTCAAGGATGCCTCTCGTAATCTCAGATGCGATGAACTCGCTCGGAACCCGAACCCGAACCCAAACCTGAACCTAACCCAGACCCAGACCCTAAACCTCCTGCTTTATGACGTGTCACCACCATTCTGAAACAAAACACATAATCGTCAGGGTCATGCATAACCTCGAGAGGTCTCACACACTCTACAAGTTCCCTGGTTCTATCTCAACGTCCTTGACTCGAGTACGGATCCTCTGCTTTCAGTAGTACGGGCCCATACTACCTTCCACATCTATCCGTACTTTCCTCAAGGATTGCCTTGACTTCACCAAGTCCCTTCTACTGATATTGCTCTCCATGCTAATCTCATCCTAGGCTTATCCTAGGGTAACCCTCCGACCCACTCTCCGCCATCAGCTGCATAAGAACTTCCTGCTACCTTTACCTAACTAGCTCGCGAATACCATTACATATTACTAAGACCAGATAATTCTTCGAATGAGAGGTCCCTCCCTACAACGGTTAGACTCAAACAAGAGCTGCGAAATAGGGCTAAACCTAACCTTCTGAAATTATTTAGTCCTCGTAATATGTAACTTAACATATTTGTTTATTAGTTAGCTAAAGATAACTAGAACTCCTAAAAGCACAAAGCAAACAGTATTCGGGCATTGAGTAACCAAAACCAAGCATATCCTAATCAGGCCATTATATCACTAACTAATCAGTAAGCACATACAGCAGGCACATAAGGCATCTTCCTAGATCATTGGCCCTAATCTAGCATGCAGTTCTCATACACATACAATAGGCATATAAGGCATCCTTCCTAGATCCTTAGCCCTAATCTAGCATGCAGTTCACATATTCTCAATTCATATCATACATAACATAACATAACATGTATGGGTATCTTGGGGAAACTTACTTGAGCTCGGCCGATGGCACGCATCACACACCTTGTTCTTTCTAAAAAAACCCTTTATTTTAATTTTAGAAAAAATTATTTTCATGTAAAAATCTTTCAAACCCTCAATTTGAGTCCAGACACACCTGAAGGTGTGTCCGAATCCCTCAAACCAAGGCTCTGATACCAATTTGTAACATCCCAAAATTCAAGACCAAAAATTTTATTTTTAATTTAATAATTCATAAAACAGATTATTGAAAACATCATTAAGTTATCTCATATCATAAAATCCCATAAGGCACATGTCTCAAAACAAGTCATAAGATAAGAATGTCAGAGTACAAATCCCAAGAACATCATAGTGCGGAAAATCGTGGTGTGATACACTGCTATCGTGTCGGCTCCTTTCCCTTCGAAGAAGAAGGATCTGAAACAAAAACTGAAAACCATAAGCACAAAGCTTAGTGAGTTCCCCCATCATACCACATACCATACAATAAACATATTGTCTAACATGTCCGGGTACTGGCCTACCCCTTCGGTCTCTTTCAACCGGTAACTGCCTAGCATATCAGGGTGCTGGCCTACCCCTTCGGTCTCTTTCAACTGGTAACTTGCCTAGCATATCAGGGTGCTGGCCTACCCCTTCGGTCTCTTTCAACCGGTAACTTGCCTAGCCTATCAGGGTGCTGGCCTATCCCTTCGGTGTCATTCAACCGGTAACTAGCCTCGCATATCAGGGTGCTGGCCTACCCCTTCGGTCCTTTCGACCGGTACCAGGGACTATTTCACCCCCTACTTCTACCATATATTATCCTAGTACATAAACACATAAGTTACATACTCCCTAGCATATCAGGGTGCTGGCCTACCCCTTCGGTCCTTTCGACCGATACTGGGGCCTATCCTACCCCTCCTACCACTATCATATAATATCATAGCATACTAGCACATAAAGCATAACAGATAGTGGCATACCAGATAATTATCACAAAGACAATCATCTCTACTATAACACTTACTAGTGGGCCGACATTGGTGCCTTCGACCCACTTCTACTGGAAGGTAACTCACCTCAAATGTCGTGAAGTAGATGAACTGTCCTTGGCTCTGAAATCAACTCCACTCAATCTCCAATACACAAAAGATCTTCTTTAATTACCCTTTCATACTCATAACCCCTTGCGGGTCAACTTTGGTCAAAGTCAAAGTCACAGTCAACACCCCTGATCAAAGTCAACATCCTGAGTTGACTCAACTCGCCGAGTTGATCCATCAACTCGTTGAGTTCCATGAATCATAAACCCTGAAATCGCGATCCAAATCGTCGAGTTCTTTCACAACTTGTCGAGTTCCTCCTATTTATAGAATCGAGACTTCCCCAGTCGACTCGTCGATTCATGCTTGAACTCGTCGAGTTTTGCCCTTTACAGACTCGGGGCACTTCGACCCAACTTGTCGAGTTCCTCTATGGACTCGACGAGTTCTTTAGTCTGTTAAACCATCTTAAGGGATTAAGGCCTTATCCCTCAGATCTAAGTTCCACACTTCCAATACATATTGAACATGTCCTTTTAAGGGTAAAGTTTCCACCTTCACCCGTTAGTACTATTCCTTAAGATATATAGCTCAAACACTAACTCTTAAGGACCTAGATCTTGGTCCACAAGCCTTCAATACTTCAACATATGGTGTACAAACAGAGATCTGGACCTTAGAGACTAAATGAACACGTAAAGTCTCCACCTTTCTCTCCATGCATGGCTTTTTGGAGCTTAAAAGGCCAAAATGACATCCTATAGCTTGCATGGGGATTCAATGGCCATAAAGTTTGCACCTTTATGCCATGGAAGCCCTCCATGGTTCCAGATCTGATGACATACTCACTTGGGACGTCCATTTCCCCCAAAGGTCATGCTTCTTGAACAAAAAATCCCATAAAAGTAAAGATAAAGAGATCTAAGCATATTATGGACAAGATATTAGCTTTATACCTCTAATGAACCAGAAATGAAGCTAGACTTCTGTATCTACTCTTCTCCTATCCTTCCTTGCTCCTTCTTCAAGTGTCTTCTTCTTCAAGAATCACCAAAAATGCACAAATTGGCTCAAAAACTCTCACAAGTGGATTAGGGTTTCGTGGCTAGGGTTTGGGATGATGGAGGCTGTAAATGAGGCCAACCTTTGGAGGTTAAGGTGTTTAAATAGGGTGGTAAACCCTGAAAATTAGGGTTTCACTATGGCAGCCCTACTCGTCTAGTTGAGGCTCTCAACTCGTCGAGTAGGCTTTAAATCCCGCGTCCGAATTCCATCCCTACTCGACGAGTTTGGGGCCTCCAACTCGTCGAGTCCCTGTACAAAAATGAGTAAATTGATTTAAAATACATACCAGGAACCGGACGTTACACCAACACGCCTCCAACTTCAAATGGTTATTACTTTTGCATCCCTTATCCGTTTTCGACGTTCTTTATATCCACGAAGAGGTAACGAGAAGCCCTACACATCTATAAACTTTATTTAGTCTAAAAACCAACTGAAGTTAAATCCAAATTTCATAAAATGCCCGAACCAACGCCTTTACCGATACCCTTGGGCTCCAAAACACAAACCGAATACCCGGATAATCCAAACTACATCATCCACCTCCAAATGAGCCCAACCTCAATTCTTCAAGGGTTCTAAGCCTGCTAATACCCACTCCTTGATCACCACCTCGCAATGGGAAACGATTCGAAACCGGGCGTTACAGAATATGATTGTTATTGAACTTTTGAAATCCAAATTAAAAGCTTACCGACACAGTAAATCCCTCTAAAAGATAAGGGGCATGGAGCAGCAGAAGAATCAAATGGTAACGATGTAGGAATAAACCATTAGTCACCAGTGAGGGCTCTGCAACAGCAGACGACGCACACAGTGGTCATCGTCGACGATGGTGTGGTGACTGAAACGTGAGATGAAAGCAGAAACATGAAAGGAAGCACTAAATTGAACCCTACCAGTGGGGGCGTTGCAGCAACAAGCAGTCCCTCATACTCACCAAACATGTCTCGAACTTTTAGGTCAAATGAAAAGTGCTAGAGTTTCTTTTAAACAATTATGAAATATCAAGCGAGAAACTTTCACTGCAAACGTCGACCTCGTTTTTTGATTTGTAAAAAAAACACGAATAGTGAAGTCAGTATGTGTGTGTATCAAATAGAAACTACATTAGTCATCTTTAATTCCCCAAAAAAATTGATACCCTTATCCCCTCTCAGAAGAATAATTCAGTCTTTTTTTCCTAAAAAAAATCAATCAACCCTTACTCCAAAAAAAATCGACCGACCCTCTTCAATTCGATTTGCAGGTTTGGTTCCTATACGGCTTGAAGGTGGTGGGTTGGAGAAGATGTTAAGTGGTAGAAATGGTGGATGTTGTGGAATGGGGGAAGGTTTAGATGATGATATCGACCAATAAAACATGAAGATGAGGCAACGATATGGGTGCCGCCAAATTAGGCATGAAGATTAAGACCTACAAGGCATGAAGATGAAGATCAACTCTTATTTAATCAATTCAATTCACGTCCACATTCTAGGCTTTTAATTTGGTTATATTTAATAATCAAAAAATATTTTGATTACTTTCCTATTTATTGGTTTCTTAAATTTGGATACTTAATTAATTAATTACAAAATACCAAAATTGCCCCTATCAAATTGATTGGTCCGAATTATCATACATTCACACAATATATATATAGAGTTTATATATGAACTCAAATATATATATATATATATATATATATATATATATATATATATATATATATATATATATATATATGTGTGTGTGTGTTTTTGAGAGAGAGAGAGAGAGAGAGAGAGAGAGAGAGAGAGAGAGAGAGAGAGAGAGAGAGAGAGAGAGAGAGAGAGAGAGAGAGAGAGAGAGAGAGAGAGAGAGAGAGAGAGTTTTTCCTCTATAAAAAGAGAAGCCAAAGCCAACCATATATTTTCACAAAAATGGAGTCCCAAAATAACGAACTTCATCAACCTTTCGTACAACCCATTCAAGACTGTACTGCCGGCGGACATGGCGGCAGTGCTGAGCTGGAGAGGGTGCTTTCCGACACAGAGACACCATTAATGAACCGGCTTTTGGTGGCATCCAGGATTGAACTTAATCTTCTGTACAAGCTGGCTGCACCGGCGGTGATGGTTTACCTGATCAACAACGCCATGTCTATGTCCACCAGAATCTTTTCCGGCCAGCTTGGCAATCTAGAGCTCGCTGCAGCCTCCCTTGGTAACCAGGGGATTCAACTCTTTGCCTATGGTCTCATGGTGAGTTTCTGAATTCCTACCAGTGGCCACAATGCAACACTTTGTCTGTGTGTGTGAGACAGACCGACGTGAAGTAAAAACTATATATGTAGTTCAATTCTATTATTAAATAACAATAAAAACAGATTTAAAAGCGCTCAATTTGCTATACTTACACTTATTTATTATACTTTAGAGTTTAGCTGCTACTACAGATGTATATATAATAGTTAATTTGTGACAAAACTACGAATACAACAGTTAGAAAAGCTATATTTTAACTTCCTGTCACATTTCCAAGTGTCGGTGTATGATTTAACGCAGTATTGGTAATTTGGTATGTGTGCTTCTAGCTGGGAATGGGCAGTGCAGTGGAGACGCTATGTGGTCAAGCTTTTGGGGCACGAAAATATGATATGCTTGGAGTATACCTTCAACGATCCGTGATCGTTCTTACAATCACAGGAATCCCGATCACTCTGGTTTACGTGTTTTCTAAACCAATCTTGCTTTTACTTGGTCAATCGCCATCAATGGCGTCAGCAGCCACCCTATTCGTCTATGGTCTCATTCCTCAAGTATTCGCATACGCCATCAATTTTCCTATACAGAAATTTCTTCAAGCTCAAAGTATTGTGACGCCAAGTGCATATATTTCAGCTGGAGCCCTAGTTGTGCACCTGATTCTTTCTTGGGTCATGGTGTACCAGTTGGGGTTGGGCTTGATTGGCGCTTCGTTGACTCTAAGCTTGTCATGGTGGATCATAGTGTTTGCACAGTTGGTTTACATCTTGACTAGCGATAGATGTAAGGAGACGTGGAATGGGTTCAGTTCTAATGCTTTCTTTGGGTTATGGGAGTTTGTAAAACTGTCAAGTGGGTCTGCTGTGATGTTGTGTTTGGAGACATGGTATTATCAAATACTAGTGTTAATTGCAGGGTTGCTTGAGGATCCCCAGTTAGCATTAGACGCACTTTCCGTTTGGTAGGTCTCATGATCTTCATCACATTTCGCCTTATCGAATAACGTTTGCTAGACCATTTTAAACTATTAATAACTGTTTTTTTGTATGATAAATTTTATGTAGCATGGGGGTCAGTGCACTGCTTTTTATGGTCTCAGTTGGGTTCAATGCAGCTGCTAGGTTGGTTTTTTAAAGCTTTAACGAATAATAAATGACATAATTCTAATAATAGTTTTATATGTTTTTTTTTTTTTTTTTGTAAAACAATATAAATCAAACTTTGATATAATGAAGTGTGAGGGTTGGCAACGAGCTTGGAGCAGGAAATCCAAAATCCGCAGCCTTTTCAGTTGTAACGGTGACCATGGTCTCATTTCTTGTATCCGTAGTCGAAGCGATGATTGTTTTGTCAACGCGACATGTTATTAGCTATGGGTTTACTAGTGGTGAAACCGTTGCAAATGCAGTGTCAGATCTTTGTCCATTATTGGCCATCACTATCATTCTCAATGGCATTCAACCAGTATTATCAGGTATTATATATAATAATTTTCTCAATTACTTAAGTATATGTTCATGTTTATACGATTATATATGTGTTGACTTATGAAATCCGATTTTAAAAATAAATCGAAGGAGTGGCTGTTGGGTGTGGATGGCAAGCATTTGTGGCGTATGTGAATGTCGGATGTTATTATGCTGTGGGCATTCCACTTGGATGTGTTATGGGCTTCTATTTTAACCTCGGAGTCAAGGTACCATATGTACACATACAATCAACAAGTTTGTACTTTTTTTAAAAAGACATCATTCTGACAATGTAAGGGCATTTTAATTTCTCATAACATTATCTTAATTATCGTATATAGGGAATATGGTCAGGGATGATCGGAGGAACTGCAATGCAAACCGTTATTTTACTTTGGTCAACGTTTCGTACAGACTGGAATAAAGAGGTGACTGAATATTAAAATATAGGTTTTCTTTTATATTTGATTTTTTTTTCTTGAAAACAGAAATAAAGGGAGTTTTTGAAAATCAGGTGGAAAAAGCTAGCAAACGTTTGGATAAGTGGGAAGCAAACAAAGAAACTCTTTTGAAGAAATGAGGAAGAAGTCATCAAAGTCAATCTGTTTTCCAGTACTTAGTCATAAGTCCTAATCGTTCATACCCCATATCATTTGCCGAATTAGCACAATATGATAAAAAAAATTGCAAAAATATCCTTAAACATGCAGGAAAACCATAAACAAAGCTTGAGTCGATTAAAGATAACAAAAGATACAGTGTATTTCCAAAGCATGTACAGCGTTTTCATAAGTATATATGACAACTTGTCAAGTACATAAATAGCTCAAAAAATATAAAGTACTCACACACAGTAATTAAACAGCAAACATACGCATCATAACGTTATTCAAAACAGAAGCCAAAGATTATAAAGGAAACTCAAATACCATGTGTTACTTTGATCCCACCAATCTAAACAGATCTGCATGATCAATTGTCAAATTGCATCTGATGATTGGGATTCTGCTTTAGGTATGAGTCCACAGGCTCTTCATAATTCAGAAGTGAAGGTTTAGGATTCAATATGACTTCACACCTCCTGAAGAAATTAACATTAATTAAAGTAGCACATCAGGAATTGCTAAACAAAATTTCACATGATAGATGAAAAGCATTATATAAGATTCCCCTGATATAAGAAAAGTATTATACTAAGAAATAATAAATAACAAGAAACTAACCCCTTTAAAGTTTGTGTGATTCCAATAACGATATTCGTGTAGTATACGTTTTTGGTCAATGAATCCTGCGGTTGAGAGAGACGATTCAACAAACCCTGAACTATACTGCATTCATAGTTAACCTGCCAGAAAACACGAAAATTAAGTTTTTGAGCAAAAGACCTAAAAGCCCTTCTCAATCATCAAAAACGATGCTAGAAAGCTTGTTGATACCTCTTGTTTCTTATTAGATGGAGCAGCCTGAAGATTTTCTCGAATACAAGTTTGCAGAGCTGTTACTGCTTCTTGTCTATCATTTTCATCCTTGTATCTAGCTTCAATTGGATACAATAACTACACAAGCATATGTAATTAGATGTATGCAGGGTGTTTGGGAAGAAAATCAACTGTTTAAAAATTGCATATAATTTAAACACCTTTGTGAGAAGTTCAAGTTTTTTGATATAGACTTGTTCAGATTCGTCATCACCTTCTTCATAAAGCCAATCTTCGGTGTCTTGCAGATGGTTAGAGATAATGTCCACCTCTGATTTTGTTGCCATGCTTCGGTAGGAACTCGAAAGCTAAAATAAAAATATTGGATCAAATTAATTGTATGCAAGATTCTTATAATCAAAAGGTAAAATCCATGCACACGAATTAATTATTTTGAAAATATTTACCTTGGTACGAGTGTCATAGACAAAAGACTCGAGGGTGTTTCTTTTTTCTTTAGTTTTCTCCACCATTATGTCTTGCTTTGCAAACATCTGTGCTTTCTTTTGAGCTTTGTCTATCTCTTCTTTTGTTGTCAGGACATGATGATTTTCAGACACTGAAAGCTTCTGTTCCCTGCCCCTGTTGCTGCTTCTTCTTGGTTCTACAGCCTGCATATGTTTTGCCATGGCTTATCTATCGTATACAAAAAGCTTCATCAAAAAAACTAGAATTTAATTTATTCAGAAATTTAGATTACATGAAGCGGATTAACCAGCTGGGTGGAATCAGTGGGTTTATAAGTAGCATCATTCCACAAATTATTTAATATCTGTTTCGGCCGCCACCTTTGATTAGAGTTATCAGTTGGAGGGGGTATAACTTCTAAAACCTGAAGCAACAAACAAAAAAGAGAAGGAAATCATGATATGTTTAATTTCAACATTAGAGAAACTTGAGCAACAAACTAACAATACTCACCGATGCAGATTGTATCTCAACAATTCCATGGACATTAAGCTTCACATTAACTGTGACCTTCACATTTTTTTCACCAGAGATTTGATCTGTACTACTGATCTAAAAGAACATTTATATAAGTTGAAATGCATGCTTAAAAAAGAAGCAATATTGTAACATGCAATTGCACACATATCAAACATTTACCATGAAACGACCAACTCTAGTTGATAGTGCAGAATCCATCTTGTTGGTGTAGAAAATTTCACACCAAACTGAAGTATTTCCATCGTATGAAACTGTTGTATTGATTGGAAATGAGCTGCGTTTTGGAAAAGGCATAAGTTCTGGGCCTCTTCTGTTTTCACCATCGACAAAAGAGATTCCTACTGTGTAAGGAAAAATATCCTTAATCTGCAAACCATATATAAGGCCCAACTTTATTTACATAGTACTGAATTAAGATATGTCACAAAAGCTAAAGTTTGTTGTATTAATTTGCTTATGTAAGATAAAGCATAAGTAAGAGAAAATTATATATGATGGTTCATATAAATCAATGGATTAGTTCAATTTTCACAACAAGTTGCAAAAGAATATATATACAAGAGTAGTATTCAAGAAATTAAAACCTCATATTCTTGAACATTAAAAGTCGGGCTAAGCTTTGCACAATAAAGAGCACATCCTCTAGCAACACATTCGCTGCCATTTAGTGTTCTCATTGGTTCTTTTTTAAAAAGAAAAGCTATATTTGACACAATAGAAGGTATGCGGGACCCAGAACCAACAAGCTCAACTGTATGTATCTGATCTACATGTAGACCATTGTCCTTAATGGCCATACAACAAACATCAGAAACCCTTTGTAGCAATTTCGCTGACAATTTCTCAAACTCTTCCCGTGTAATGAATCCAGCCAAATCTTTATCATCAACCAAACACTCGATATTAAGTGGAGCTTCTGCATTGGCACTCAAAACTTTCTTTAACTTCTCACATGCAGCCCTAAGCCTTATTGAAGCACGAACATTGGTGTAAACATCAATATTGTATTGCTGTTTGAATTGTGTTGCAAAATGTGAAAACAAGACTTCATCAAAATCTCTACCTCCCAAGTTGGGATCAAATGAATGAGCCAATATTTCCATTTTCCCTTTTTGGAAAGCAGCAACCGTGACCTGAGTGTCAGATTGACCAATATCCAGAAATAGAACAATAGTTGGTCCTTTCTTACGGAAATCAGTCTTGAACATACCATAACCCAATCCAACAGCAGTACAATCGTGGATCAACTGCAAAGGTTTTAAACCAGCAATAGAAGCAGCATGAAGATACTCACGCCTTTGCAAGTCTGTAAAATATGATGGAATCCCAATCACACAGTCTACAACAGGAGACTCAAGATTCTTCTCTGTCATTTGCTTCAAATGTGCAAACAACATCCCCAAAATATCCACTGGCGTAAAAGTCCATGTCTCTTTCATGTACTCTAAATGGATCAAAACACCACCACGAGGTCCTTCACTGGTCTGGAAAGGTAGCAACTTAAGATCTGCTTGCACATTCGGTTCATTATATAGCTTTCCAATCAATCTCTTGATCTGAGAAATGGTTGATTTTGGAAACTTAGTAGCAAATGTAGCCCCTGCAGAACCCAAGAACCTTTGCTTCTCACCAAACGAGACCACAGCTGGCGTCTCACGATTCGATTCATTATTCAACAACACCTCAATCGCACCACTCTTTGCAACTGCTATAGCACAGTTCTCATTCCCAATATCAAACCCAATCACACTCATTCTTAATTATCTTGCCAACACAAGTGTACTCTTCAAATTCTTACCAGTTATCGACACCTAATTCATTCAAACAAAGACCCAATTTATAAACAACTTCATACGAAACAAAACAATCATATACAAAACTGAAAATCCGTAATTATAAGTTCTAACTACTCAAATTGCTTTAAACTAGGTCCGGTACTGTTCAAGTACACCAACTATAGTATGCATACTGAAATTTAGATCATTCTGTAGCATATAACGAGCAAAATTAAATACGATGATTCAATGTAACAGCATCAAAAGTACGATTAAGATGAAGGATACGTACCTGCAGGTTGTTGAAGCAAGTCTAACTGTGAGCTTTTATGAGAAAATATATATGTATATATATAGATATGAAAAATCAACTACCAATCGTTGGAAGTCGGGTAGCCCGTCGCTATGGAATTCGAAATGTTTGAAGAAGTCAACTGCCAGTAATCAGAAGTCGTCGGTATTTAATTCAAATCAATTTCCTGGTGATTACTGATTAGTTAAAGTTGACGTTTGGGTATAATTTTGGCGCCCAGGTTAATTAGGGCCAATCGACCTGGATTTCGTATTTTTAAAGCTAAAACGTTTTAATTTTTAAAGTTTTTTTTGGTATTATTATGTAACTATTAAAATAATTTGAGAAAATTACTAATCTAGCCAAATTCCTTAATAACTTCTAACTTTTTAGCCAAAATTTAGGATTTAGTTCAAAATAGTCATTGAAACCGTAGGTGGTTAAAATGATCTACTGTTTCGTAATTTTAAAGGTTTCGGCTTTAGTATATAACGATTTTTTTTTTCATTTTTCGTTACAAAAACGTAGACGAAAAAATTGTCTATTGTTTCTTCTGAGAATATGACTACTAATTCATGCATTTTGACTAGTATATTGTACCTAATTCATGGCTATTTTAACCTAAATCCTAAATTTTGGTTAAAAAATGAGAAGTCATTAACGAATTTGATTAGCTTAGTAATTTTCTCGAATAATTATGCAACTAGTAGGTCTAACATTTAACAAATATAATGCACCAAGTAGGTATAACAACTATTTTTTTTGTTTTATTATATAATTATTAAAATAATTATGCAACTTGTAGGTCTAACATCTAACAAAAATTGTGCAACTAGTTGTTTTTATTTGCAGGTTTGGATTTGGTTTTGGTTGTAATTTTTGTTTATAAGTTTTGGTTTGGTTTTTGTTTCATTTCACTTTGTTGCGGGAATGGAGTTGATGTGGTGGCCGGAATGGACTCATGGTGGTGACCGAAACTAATTGTTGGTGGTAATCGGAATAAACAGATTATGTTTATCGGAGATGATAGTAATGAGCGAGTCACCTCATATATGAGTGTGGTGAAAGGAAGATTAGGTTTGAGATTTTCATTTATTATTTATTTTATATCTAATTATATAATAATAAATAAACTCTTAGATGTCGGACCTATGTGTTTTTAATAATATTTTTTAATAAATAAATAAGAAATAAATAATTAACAAATTAAAAAAAAATATAATACAATATTTTAGGTCTC